CAACTGATTCAGCCTTTTGCATGGCAGAATCTAGAAATTAGTCACTGGAGCTGGGACCATTCTTGAAATTAATTTAAAATATTTTGATTTCCATCGCTAAGGATTTTTAAAACCAAAGTTTATAAATTTATTTTATTTGAATGTTACAAGCTGCCTCTTGCCATTGATAATGTCATATAAAATGTTGATATTATTAAATAAGATAGCCAGTTATTCTAAGTCTAAGTTTGGAATGGTGGTTAAGGCATCATGCTAGAAACTGGGAGACCATGTGTTCTAGTCCCATTTTAGCCATGAAACCAGCTGGGTGACCTTGGGTCAGTCATTCTCATTTAGCCTTAGGAAATAGGCAATAGTAAACCACTTCTGAAAAATCTTACCAAAAAAAACCCTGCATGGATTTACCTAGAAAATCACTGGCTGGATAATTCCAAGATACTTACATATGGGGGGGGGGGAGAAAACACACACAGACACACACACACACAAATGCTACCATATAACAGTGGGGGATTAATTTTTTTTTACTACTGGTTCTGTGGGCATGGCTTGGTGGGCATCGATACTGTAAAATCTGCATTCCCACCCCACTCCAGGGGAAGGATACTGCAAAATTTCCATTCCCTCCCCACTCCTGGCAGAAGGTTACCACAAAATTCCCATTCCCTCCCCACTCTTGGGAGAAAGTTACTGTATAATCCCATTCCCTCCCCACCCCACTAACCTGCTTTCCAGCTCTGTTCTCCTGTACAGGGCAACAAAAGAAGACCCAGCCAATCAGCTAAGACCCAGGAGGCAGAGAATAGATGGGGGCGGGACCAGTCAGAGGTGGTATTTGCCAGTTGTCTGAACTACTCAAAATTTCCGCTATCAGTTCTCCAGAACTGGTCAGAACCTGCTGAATACCACCTCTGCCATAGACCAGGTACTACAGATATGAAAAGTTAAGCATATACAAATAGTACAGCAGATCAGATTGATCAATTCTTTATTTATAAATTTATAGCTTAGTCCTGTAAAAAGTGCAATAAGTCTAGAGAGCATCCAGTTCTTTGTTTAGTGATAATACTTATATCTCTAAAAGTGTGGGGTGGGAGTTTGCCAGAAGGAAATAACTTTATCACATAATCCTCTTAAATGAAAGAATGACTGGTTTTTTTGATACTTGTGGGCCAACAATGTATAATCTTCCACTGGATTTCTGACCCTGGAACTGAAATGAATCTATGTGGTTTCTGTTCATCAATAAATGGACCCTCTTTCTAATCAGCCTACAGATTCCATTTTGTCTCCAGTGCCTTTCTTAGAACTGAACCAGATAGATATTTCTTCCCGCTACAAAAGGGGCAATAGCTGAAGGACCGTGCATATTTTATTGCCATTTAACATATTTGACATGCTTTCCCTAGTCTACTAGTTACTTAAATTATTACCTTTTTTCTCCAATTAATTATGTTTCTTAAAGACATATCACCCCAGCTTGCTTTGCCTGGACTACTGGGACAGGGCTGCAAAACCATGAAGACATCATTCCTCTTTGAGGCCCCATCAGGTCCTCAAGTCTCAGGAGAGACCTTTCCGTCAATAGGAAAACAGTCTCTCCTCAAGGTCTTCAGATCTCCAATGGATCCAGATGAAAGTCATCTTCAAAACAGCACCTCTTGAACAAGATATGAGCAGGTAATAAATCAGCTCAGTTCAATTCTTGAAGGGATCTGACAGATGAGGTTACACTAGCTGTGTAAATAGATTAAATGGAAATATCCTTGCACCCAATGAAATCTGTTTCAAAATATTTATCTAACAAGAATTGTCTACTGAAAATAAAGAAACATTATCAGCTTTGTTTGTACCACAACAAGTGACTATTTGGCACATTTCTTTTTAACGTTACGGAGACTAGTATTTTCCTTTCAAATTATATCTCACATTTTTCACTTTTCAGACACATAAAGGCACCGCAATAGAAACATTGATTTCAGTTTTTAATGTGTTAGCCAGGTGTACTCCTACATAGCAGAGTGAAGCACTTCCTTAGTAACAAATCAGCCCAATGGTCCAGAACAAGCTTTTCCCCATCAACCTCTTTTTCATTTTGAAAAATGGAAAACTAAAGCTCACATTTTGGAGCATTAAATTGCTCTAAAATATAGAAAAATTGCTCTAAAATATATTTAAGACATCTGGAAGAAAATATATTCAGCCCCTCACCCTTTGCAAAGGCTTCAACACAGTTGCTGTATTTTCAACTTCACAACAACAGACTACTGAAATAAGATTGCATAAGTTTAAAATATCAGATAGATGGACAGTACTAACCATACCAAGATTACATTCTGGTTGTACAGATACACTACCAGAATAAAGGCCTGGAATAAGCCCTCCTCTGCTCACTATCTACAGGGCAAAATATGATGTGTATGTTCTCTTTCTCCTGTATAGCTGCCCAAATTTTAGTGAGGCTAAGGTAAGATATGATGAAAATCCTGAATATCTGAGAAAAGCAGGATGCTATATATTTTTGGGTTGGGACTTCAAGTGTGCCAAGAAAAGACTGCATCCGTGAGCAGGTAAGGAACAAAAAGCTTTCTTGCCAATATCTTAAGAAAAGCTACTGGGAAGTTCAAGCTTTTGCAGTTAATGAAAGTCTTATTTGACACAGATGAAAACTTGAATAATGCAAAGAAATAAAACAATCACTTACTATCGGTTGCAGCGGCATGACTGTTCTGAATGGTTTTTGGTTGCTATGGTGACAGCGTCTCTCTCTCTCTAGCTGGACTTGCGTTCCTGTGAGTGCAGTCAGTCTTTGGGGCCTGGTAGCAAACAGCAACCGTAGCTGGAATGTTCCTAGCAACAGTACAGCAAGAAATGATTTAAAACTGTGTCTGCTTAGCACTTTTCCCCATTTGGCAGCATCATCTGCAAAGCTGCACTATAATCCAGTTTGGTGGATTATAAAAGTTATTTATAATCAATTGCTGTTCCAGTCCATTCATAGTAGCCTCCTCCTGCGGGTTTTTTGTGACATCTGGTTATATTGTTACATCATAAAATGCCTCTTCTCAGGTACTAGGATTTTTTTTCATTTGTTTTGTTGGTTATGGAGTATCTGGTAGAAATCAGTGTTATTAGAAGTTGGAGAAAATACATGTATTTACAATCATTTCAGTATTCCTCTCGTTCTCATTTCTGTCAATATTAGCTCCAAAACCACTTCTTGAGTTCTCTATATAATTTCCCTTGCTTGTATGAAATATGTTACCCATTAATTTTCAAAAAAAAATCTCTTTAATAAGCTCTCTTGGACTGTACAAAATATGACATGCCAAATATATTTATGTTCCTTGCTGTAGTAAAACTGCTAATATAATCAGTAATAGCTTTTGGGGTAATTCCCTCTAAAACTAATTGGGCCTGAATAACTATTCCACGAAGAGAAATTTGTCACCTATAGACCATTGATAATTATGGCATGCCAGATCCTTAAGAATATTACGTTACAGAGATGCACATAGACAACTGCAAGAATGTATGAAATTGTTGTGTAATGGTTTCTAACTTACATTTTACTCTAGGATCTTTTAAGAATTCTCAAGAATGCAACAACCTTTTTGAGAACAAATAAAATCCCCTATTTGGGGTAATGGCATAATATGTTACCTCTGTTTCCCTTAAGCTCCTGGCAGCTTAAGGGAAAGTGGACATAATAGAACTTTAAGAACATAGGCACTGATCTTGCAGCAAACATATATGTTTGGAATCACTGAGTGGTAAAATAAAATTATCTTCCGCTTCTAAATAAAGGTTCACTACATCCTTACTTTGTAAACCAGTGTTGATGATCACCAATTTCTGTGAATGAAATCAGATTATGATATTAAATAAGTGAGAGGTCCTTGGCTACATATATTCTTCTTTATTGGTATAAAGAAATCTCCATCATTTACAAACTTGCTTGGTATATAAAATCATAACTCTGCTACCTTTAGCAGCTCGCAGTATTTACTCATTTCTCTGCCACACAAATGAACATATGATAGTATAACTATAGGATTCACTGTATAAGCTCAGTGCAAGTTAAACCAGTGTTACAGGACTACTGTCACACATCCCTACAAGACAACGTAATAGGAGAATGTTATTCTACAGTGACAGAAAATCAGGAGTCTGGTACCACCATTTTTTCACAAATAAAATTTTATTAAAAGACATTGACTTTCATAAGTTGCAACTCACTTCATCAGATTTTTCGAATGGTTAGGCCAGGGGTCCCAAAACTTGGCAACTTTAAGACTTGTGGACTTCCACAAGTCTTACGGTTGCCAAGTTTGGAGACCTCTGGGCTAGACTGATGTAAGATTTAAAATGGGGTGAGGTGGGGAAGAAGGGAGGAAGATAGGTTGCATTTGTTGAGACTTTCTGAGATTGCTTGAAATCTTTTGATGCAAGTTGAATAAAGATAAAGCCTTAACATTTGTCAGTCCGAAAAGTTGTACTGGTTTCTTGACGTCTCTGCAAACTGAACAAGATTTGGCAATATCATCTCTCAAATCTCAGCCTCTTTAATTGGGGCTGGAAGCATGAAATGACAGGTTGTATAGCTCTACCTGAGGTTCATATAAAATCCCAAGCCTCTAACACATCGTTCTTTGCGATGTTTAAATCAGTGGTTAACAGCAGTCAAGAGTTTGCCGTATAAAATACCAATTTCATTAAAAATCCCAATCTCATGACTGCTACATTTACAGCAGTCAGAGTTTACAATATAAAATCATTAATCTCACGGAAAATCCGCCTTAGTAGTAGTAAAACACACAGACAAGACACATAGAGTCCTTCCCCCCGCCTCTGAACCTACCCACGTTCTTCCCAGCTCCTCAGCGCAAAATACTCTTTTCCCCGCATAAAGACTGCTAAGCTTATAGTAGTAGGCTATCCTTGCTGGCCACGCCTCTCCTCCTTCCTGCGCCAATCAGGCGGGTGTGGGGGCAGGACCTCCTTGCGAGAGAGCGCTGCCGGAAGTATCGCCTCGTCCCTTCTGCTTGATGCTGGTCTTTTTTTTAAAATTTTGCTGCTGGAACCCCCCAAAAGGGGGACCATTTCGGGATTCCCCTCCCCTCCGATCCAGGCCATAGAGAGCGGGAGTACCGTGAAAGCCGGACTGGACGTTTGGTCACCCGGAAGAAGAGGTATGGTGGCCACGTTTGGCGTTTTAAACTACGATAGAGACTGACTTGTATCTCTAGAAAGGGCTTAATTCTCCTTTACTTCTTGTTCCTTTCGGTATGAGGAAGCGGCGAACTTTCCGGGCAGAAAATATAATGTGCATTTATATATACCATAATGCAGAATCCTGGATTCCGCCTTCAATAGCTACTTTCCAGAATTTCAAGTCATCGGCGTACCTATTCTTCAAAATTTGCAAAAGCCTCGTTTCCTTATCTCAATAAAAGCTTTGCTTCCAGTCCCACCTCACCACCACCGACCAAATCATTTCTTTAAATTAATACACCGGAGCGTTTTGCAATAGATCTGACTCAGAAAATATGCACGTATATAATGAGGCCTGTTTAGAGTTGCATCACAGTTTGTATCATACACGCACCTTGACGTTGTACTTTCTAAACCATCTCTGTTGGGTGTTTTATTAATATTAATTAATCATGCTCTAGCAGAACAAACTAGCCCTAGTGTCTAAAAATCAAGAATCAAAATCTAAAAACCTGAAGCTAAGAAACAGTTTCGCAAATGTGACATGAATAGCTACATAAATTGAAATAAGATTGTTTCTTATGATATTAGTAAGTCTACATTTCCAGGTATTCTTTTTATATTAACTTTTTCCTGCACTCTTTTCTTCTATAAACCACTACAATGCTTTTTTCTAATTTCACTTCCAAACTTACACATCATTCAAAGATATTTCTTCCATCCCAAAATCCTGAAATGCTTAATAAATGTTGTAAAGTGAGGGATGATCTATCCCTGAGTAAAACTTCGAAAACTCTTGAATTAGGAACCACAACTCTTGAATTAGGAACCACAGTGTTTGCCCCTTGTCTTAAATGTGAATCTCAGAATCTTAGATACTTTTCCGTTCCCTTGCTAAAAAATTCCTCTGCAAGTTAATTTCCTATTACGATATGTGGCCTTGACCGCTCTGCTTAACAGAATAGTAGCTGATTGCCTGTGATATTCCAAGTTGTATGTATGCACATGCGATGTACACAATTCATATTAGTTTAAGAAAAAATATTTGGCTAGATAATTTTTTATTGTGCTGGGGTAAACAAAAATGTAACAAAATGTAACATTGTCTTGATTACAGTAGACAGCTATCAAGTACTTTTAGGGAATCTAAAAGTACAGCGGATAGATATAATTACACTTGTCCGTTTTGTAATAGCCATACTAGTAGTTGTTGATAACACATTTCATTACGTCTCAGGTTCTAGTACAGTATAACAATGAACATTTGTCTTAGTCTGCATTTTACATCTGTACCAATAGCTTTTTTTGTCTTGATTGGCTGGCAACATTGTGTTTCCTGTATTGGAGGCTTTTAGTACGGCTTGGCTCTGAGTAAACGGACGGCTATCATTTATCAAAAAAGCTACAAAACAGACAGAAGATATTAGAAACACCAATCAAGCAGAACACAGCAAACTCCAAGACCAATAAACACAGACCAAGACTCCCAACCAATCAGGATGAAGAAAAAACCATTCTGGCACAGCAGTAGGCTTGCCCCAAATTTAAAACTGAAACAGCTGTGAAAGTCTCACTCGCAGACGAACACAATACAGAAGCCTGATGATGACAGATGAGATTCTGCTGAAATGTTGCTACAACTTTAAAAGCACAACTATAATGACGTGGGAAAATACCCGAACAAAGCTGAATACCATACATACATATATACATACATACATACATACATACATACATACACACACACACACACAAACTATAGTATGTTTCACTCATATGGGCTTCGTATCCTCTTGGAAATTTCAAAGTCGACTTGAGAACTATATTAAATTCTTGCCTTTCTCAGCCTGGGTTCATAGCTTCAGGAATTCTAACCCTTATATTAAAACAACCAACTTTTTTTTCTGCTAACAAAGGGAGAGTCTAGAAGCCCATTTTTCAGCCTCCTGCAGAGGCTTCCCTCAAGCCTCCAGGAGGGCGAAAACGGCCTCAAACGAGCTGAAAATCATCTGGGAGGCGCGCACATGCACAGTGCAGGTAAGGGAGGTATGTGCGCAGGGGAGCCAGGGTGCATTGCATCGTAGGTGCTGGCATGCACATGCTTTTGGCACATCACAACAAAAAGGTTTGCCATTGCTGGTCTAGAGTAATCATATTCTGTACACAACTCAATATATGCATCTCTCCCTTGTGGAAATATATATTGGCAGTGATATTAAGTGTAATTGTCCCAATTAAGTGTAATTGTCATTCATGGATATGAAGGCTTGAAATGTTTTGTGTTCTTGAAATATTCTGAATTTAATATTGTTTTGTTGGTTTGAAAACACATTTGGGGTTTAAAACACTTGTGTAATAGTATGTGGGAATGACCTTGAGGGAGGAGAAGAGATACTACCTAGGAAACAAACAAAAATGTAGAAGCAATTGCTTAACCAGCCAAGAAAAAAAAAACTTTAAAAAGATCCGCCTAACACATTGGACTGTTGTGACAAAGTGACAGTGGGAGATTTGTATTTTCAGACTTGCAAGATTTTGTTTAATGTAGCTTTATAATAAAGTAGAATAAGCTCATGTGATTGTGTTTCCTGTTTGGATTATCTGGGAGAGCTGACAAAAAGCCAGAATTAGCTATTTCAAATTTTAGAACATTTCTAATGTATACATACACCAGACCTCAGTTTTGGCATATATCACTGTCAGATCCAGGTTCTATAGAACAAGGAATCACAACACCAACTTTTCTTCCAGTCTCTCTTCATGAAGTAAAATAATACTTAGAATGTATGAAAGTACTCCCTGGGTTCCAAGGTTGAATTGCTAAGTTATATACAGATAGTCCTTGTTTACCGACTGCTCATTCAGCAACTATATGCAATGGTTCTCAAAAACCTGTGATACAATGTCCCCATTGTCATGTGATTATGATTTAGGTGATTAGCAACCAGAGTAATGGTACATTTATGATGGCTGCAGGATCTTGTGATCTCAAGATCACCATTTTCAACTTTCACAGATGTTTTTTGACAAGCAAAATGGAGAAGACACAACTCGCGGTCATATAAGATGCTTAACGACTGCGAATGATTTGTTTAATGTAGCAAAAACTGACAGCATAGATGGGCACATGATGTTTCACTCTACAATCTCATCACTTAGCAATGAAGTTGCTGGTCCCAATTGCAGTCAATGAGGACAACAGTATTTTTTTTGCTATAACTGTTTATTGAATGCAGATGTTACTAATTCTGGAATACAAGATGACATAAAGTTTCAATTCTCTATTAGTGTGTTTTACTGGGAAATAGTCTTAGATAAATTGTATCTATGGAAATGATGTGACAAAAATAGTTGAAATTCATGGTTTGGATGGAGCTGAAAGTTTAGTGGTTAATTTGGGTCCCACAAGATGGTGTTCTGGTTAAGCTCTGTGTGTTTTTAGGGGAGATAATAGCAGTTTCTTAAGTCTTATGTGATTCTAATTCCTCACCAAGGACTTTTCAAACTCTTTTCTTATCTCTAAGTGGACTTTGCAAAAGTGGACTTTTTTAGCAATTGGGATAAGCACTGTTAAATGGAGGAAGTGGCTTCCAAGAGCTTTCATTGCATTGGAGTTCTGGAGATTTGTTCTTCAAGAGTTCAGTTCCTTGTGTAATTGTCTCCCTGGTCCCAGTGGCTAATGAGATGCTGTCATGATTGCTTCACATTCAAAGCCTTTTTTCTTTCTTTGCCATTCATTAATGTAATGAGCTGTTAGCCACTGCCTGACATGAATTGTATTATGTATTTTACTACTTCAAGTCCTTGGGATTGTCTTTTTCCCCAGTGTAGTTGATTAAAAGTCAGCACTTTTGCATGTTGGTATTTTTCTCTCCATTTTTAATCTTAAAACTAGTTTTATAAGAGTTTATTTTTAAAAGCAGCATACAAAATATACTAAACAAAGCTGCAGTCCTTTTTATGCTTTCTATGGGGTAAATCAATGGGATTAATACTTTGTAATATACACCATCTTGAGTGTTTATTCAAAGAAATTTTTTCAATAGCTGGAATCCAAAGCACTGGCTTTAGACACTTCTAATGCTAGTCTACTTGAAAGTGTCTATCAGTTTTGAAGTACCTTCCCTTTTAAAAATCCTATTCAGGGTTATTGTAGCAAAAAATCAAATAAAAAGCTCCTTTGAGCACAAGAAATGAATTACATAATTTTATTGAATCATGGCAAAACTACTTAGGAATTTTTTTTCTAAAATCTCCTTTTATTTTACTCAAAATATTTCAGCATTAATTTTTAGCTTTTGCTGACTTAAAGTCATGGTTATAAAATAATTGTTTACCTTTTGTGAAATCTGTTTTTAATTTTATTTATTTTGGCCTGCACAATATTTTTGTCAATTTAATGGGCAGGTTTTCTGTTACTTTAACCTTAGTGTGCTTGTAATACTGTTCCTACTATTTCTCTTCCTAATTTCAGTTATAAGCATTCTCCATAGTAGTTTAGCTATATTGTTCATAAGATGGCAATTACAATTCCGATATATCCTTATAGGAAAAACTGCAGCTGTTGGTTTTCAGAATATGTATAGAAAAATATATCTGTTGGGGAAAAATTGATCCCTCCCTTTGTAGTAATTTGACCCTTCTGTTCATTTAAAATGTCAGAAATACCTTGCTTAATTTTTTGAGTCATGCTTGGAAACATTAGTTTTTTTCATCATTTTAAATTAACACTTACTTTTGTTCTAATAATTAAACAGAAAACTGGAAATACCTAATCATGCAATGGCTTTTGAAGACATACCAAAAAAGGACTGGTATAGCATCCTGGGTGCAGAACCTTGTGATAGTTTAAAAGAATTGAAAAGGAAATATCAAAGGCTAATATTGTTGGTAAGTAAATTTTATGTCTTTGAAAGGCAAAGTAATTCATTTACAAATACTTGATTGATAACTATCATATAAACAGAACAGATATAGCAGGTATTGGTTATATTATACACATATCTCTTACTAATTGAAACTGAATATTATTTCTCCCTCCAACCTCCAGGAAAACCATGATATTCTATAACTTTCTCTACATTCTAAAAATGTACAAGAAATTAATTGCTATTTTTTTAATCATGTGAAATGAAAATTAGAGGAAAGAACTATGTTCAGACTTATAAATAATTCTTTGTCTTAATTAAAGAAAATGCCTGACCTTTCTTTCTGAATTGTGGCAGCATGAAATGAATCAATCAGTGTTTGTGACTTTACAATTTGCTACCATGGAAGCAATTATAATGTCAGTAGTACTAGATTGGCATCACTGGATAAATTAAGCATAAGACACTGACTGAAAAACAAATGAATCCCCCCCATTCCTAAAAGTGTATTGTTCAACTGCAATAATATGATTAAAAAACAAGTACGTAAAGTTTTCTTAAGTGTGCCATCTATTTGTACAATCTATATCAATGAAATGTGAGTTTTTGTATTTATTCAGTATAAAGTATACCACTATATCATAGCATAGATTGATTTATATGTTGCTGTAAAGTTGGACAGACTAAGTTAAGGGAGTGAAGTTTTGCAAGTTTTGCACTACAGGTTTGCGTGGTTCTGTCATATCTGAAGATACAACTTTATAATTCATTGCTGTAAGGTGTTTTCATCTAAAATTGCTTAAGGGCATTAAATATTACAATTGCCACTGAATCTATGAAACTGTTCTATTTCTTCAATACTTCAAGATAAATACTTCAAAAGTATTTATTTACCTTTTTCTGCCCTATTGTTAGATAGCTACAATCCCATCATAAAATAAAAGCCTTTACAGACTTGACAGCTTTCCTAAGTCCAGCTGAACATAAAGTTTAGCTCAGAATGCTTGGAATTAAATTATTCGCTCTATAGAGATCAATTAAATTACATAATGCAGTATGAAGAAAACATGCTGCTCCTCCTAGAAGTTAATTTTCAACCTTTTTTTCGAAGCAAGTATTGAAAACAATTATACATGCATTTAAATTAGTTCCTCTGATACCACAAATAACTTGCAGTAATCAACAGAATAGAAATATTGAAAAACTAGGGTATATTTGGGAATAGTTTGTAAAATATGAATTTTCAGGGTTTTTTTTACAAATTTAAAAGGATAATCTCTTTTGAATGAACAAAAATAACAGCCCAGTGAGAATGGACCATATTCAGTGTCTTAAAAAATCTGAGGAAGACCTGAGGAACAGGTAGGAGAAAGTTTGGGGAAAAAAGGAGTTTACATGCTTGTTCAGTAAGCTTGCATAATATATCTACTAGAGTATTCTAAATGGTGCATTGATTTGGAGCACCTGTCATAAAGTATCTCTAGCACATTTAATTTTTCAATCTGTTCATAGTATTCAAAATTACATATGAACACAGTGCTTGTTGTGTGATGGATTGCAAGTATCTCTTGCCAAACAGTTGTTGCCAAGAAATAATTTGAACCAATAAACTGGAAATCTGCAGCCATGTTATTTAATCTATAGCAATATACATACACACAATTACTTTTAATGTACACTGTATATAATATATATTAATATATTTATTAGTAGGTGATGGTATATTTATCTCTTGGTGGTATAATTCAGAGACACTTAATTTTTGGTTTTGAATAGTTTGAATCAACTACTACTTCTGTGTATTTCCTGTATATATTTTTTCATTCTCACATTCCATATAATTCCATAGGAATACAAATCTAATATTTGTTGAAAAGACAAGGCCACTTAGATGGGGGTAGAAGATCAGCTTCCTTGGGGAAAAATGAAGTATACACCATGCTTACAATCATAGATGCATTTGGGATTTGAAAACTTTGCATGTCTATAATAGATAGAGGAATTGCATCCTGTAATGTAGAATATGTAAAAATGTTTATGCTATATAATCGGAATGAGAGAAACTCATTTTTACAAAATAGCCAAGGAGAAAGTAAAAAGTAGGTAATCCCAAACAAGAGATTGGCTAGGCCTAGAAATAGGGCATTCTACACAGTAACATTTCTGTAGTTCCCATTTGCCAATATATGAAGTTATTAAGAGATCATGGCATTTTTATGTATAAAATTTATTATTTGCTTTTATATCCTAGCTTTTCTCTTGAGACTTCAGTGAAGAGTACATAGGTGTCGTCCCCTCATTCTCACCACACAGCAATAATTCTTTGAAAGAGGCTGGAGTAAGGCAGAATTAATGGCTCAAAGTTACCCATTGCGTTTCCTATTAATTGGAGGCTTGAGCCTGTCTTGTACAATATGTTAATTGAACTTACAGGTACACGCATGAATATTTAAGAATAGATACTGAGAAGGGAACATGATTTAGATATTAAAAACTACATTTGAAGTTACAATTGCATCTGTTTACTTTTTTCTTTCTTGATAATTCCCATCTTTTTCTAAGCAAGTGGCTGTTAAAATTTAAATTGCTGTAATGGCCAGTTCTGAAATTACAAAGTCAGAGTACTTGAGTCTTCCTAAAACCAGGGGTCTGTCTGACAGCCGGATTGTTGTTCAAGTTGATAGCCTGTCTATTTGAAAGTAATAGACAGGCAGAGTTTAGGGTGGTAAAATCACATGTCCAAGTATCTTATCACAGCTGGTGGATCTAAATTTAAGTCTGTAAATGCTTCTACTAGTTAATGCCATGGAGCATCTCTTATGTTTAATAGAGTTTTAATATACATATTCTTCAATTGTGATTCTTCAGGTTATGCAATTTAAATAATTAGTGCTTACCTATGATTGGGTTTATGATTATAAGAAGTAAAGCTGAGGAACAGGTAAGGAGAAACTTTGGGGGAAAAAGGAGTTTACATGCTTGTTCAGTAGGCTTGTATAATATATCTACTAGAGCAGGGGTCGCCAACCTTTTGGACCTCAGGGACCACCAAACTCATAATTTTAGATCCCAGGGACCACTAACCGGTTCTGTGGGTGTGACCTAATTTGTGGGTGTGGCTTGGTGGTCATGAGACTGGCTGGGCATGGCTTGTATGTAAATATTATAAATATTTATATAAATATTGATTTTTTTATTAAAAAAGAGCAACTTTTACCCAAAACCAGGCAAAGCAGGCAGGCAGATTAAGTTGCTCACAGAATCATTCAGTGATCTATCTATCTGCCATCGGCTAGCTCAGTCTCTCAAATTGCTTGCCGTTGAGTCTGCACTGAATTTGCTTGCAAGCAAACCTTCAGTCTTAAGGGAGGTTTGGCTCTGCTGAGCCAAAGTACTAAAGACTAGCTAGAAAGCAAGAAATCCAACCATTTCCTGCTTCCTAGCTAATCTAAATCTCCCGGCACTGCAGAACAGATGATGGTCGGAAAAGGAAAAATAACAATTTAGCACGCAAGTTTACCGGGTAAGGAGTAAGTGGGCGGGGAGTGTTCCTGCGGGCCATGTGGGTGGCACAGTTTTGTGTTTATGTGCAGCCTGGATTAATTACTTTGTGGGGATGCTCTGGGGGTGAGATTTCTCGGTGGTCCACCAAAATTTTCTCACGGCCCACCGGTTGGAGACCTCTGTACTAGAGTATTGTAAATGGTGCATTGATTTGGAGCACCTGTCATGAAGTATCTCTAGCACATTTAATTTTTCAATCTGTTCATAGTATTCAAAATTACATATAAATACAGTGCTTGTTGTGTGATGGATTGCAAGTATCTCTTGGCAAACAGTTGTTGCCAAGAAATAATTTGAACCAATAAACTGGAAATCTGCAGCCATGTTATTTAATCTATAACAATACACATGCAGATAATTACTTTTAATGTACTTCTTAGTAGATGATGGTATATTTATCTCTTGGTGGTATAATTCAGATCACTTAATTTTTGGTTTTGAATAGTTTGAATCAACTACTACTTCTGTATATTTCCTGTATATATTTTTTCATTCTCACATTCCATATAATTCCATAGGAATACATGGGAAAATATTTCATAGAAATCATTTTTAATGCCTCCTCAAATTTCAGTCTAATCTATAGGGGAAAAGAGGGAAACGGAGGACACAAGCACTGTGGTTGAGAACTGCTTATTTCTGAAATCATTCATTTTCCATTTTTTACTCATTCTCCCATATTGCTACACAAAAAAGTTCTTCTGTGGACTTTTTAATCAGTAGTGTATGAAACAATGTTCTTTTTAATAGTTTAGTATAAACTAAAATTTATATGTATGGCATTCAGCTTTGTTCGGGTATTTTCCCACGTCATTGTAGTTGTGCTTTTAAAGTTGTAGCAACGTTTCGGCAGAATCTCATCTGCCATCATCAGGCTTCTGTATAGTGTTCAAAATTTATATGACTATAGTTTTCCGTTCCTTACCATTTACACTGCTTCTGGCCATCAATTGCTTTTTTTTCCACAGTAAGTTTTTTATTTTATTCATAATGATAAGCAAATTCAAAAAAAGAAAAAACTATAGGAACATCCATTTATGAATTAAAAGATAACATCAAAATATAATTCTTGCTTAATTATCATGAGAATATTTTTTGTAGAAGTTCTCCGTTGAACAAGATCCAAGAGGTTGATAATTTTATGGTCACTATAACATAGAAATAAGTGACAGTTACTCTTGAATAAACAAATGCTTAACTGGTGGCAGCCACTCGCTTAACAGAAAATTGTGGGATGATTTCTCATTAATTTGATCTTTTCAAAATCAAGTTGGAATAGAATATGTAGTTCTACAGTTGCTCCAATCTTACATCTTCTGTTACCTTCCCAAAAAGATAATACCCTGTTTCTCCAACAATATGGCCTCCCCCAATAGGAAGTCCCAGCATGTTTTATAGGCGTGAAATGAAATTAAGCCCCTCCCCCCAAATTAAGGCCTATATTAAAACATGCAAAAT